CCACCTACCCCTCCCCTAAGCCAATATTTTGCCCTAAGTGAGAAGTAAGTGTTTATGTTGACTTAGGGGAGGGGTAGGTGGGTATTTTCCCAGAAACATATAATGACCCATAATTTTCGGTGGTAACCAGCCCAACAGGCAAGGGCCCAGGTCAGTCATTTTCTAACTCCAAAGAAGACAAATAAAAGATGAAGATACCATGGCCCTGGGCAAGGGTTGAGATGATAACCATCTTGTATCTAAGATTTCAAGCCTTTTTTCGCTCAAAACTGGCCAAATGTTTGCATGTACCTTTCATCCATAGTAGCTATCAATTTTTTACATACATGGTTTTTAAGAAAACCAAGGCTATAAAGTCAAGTCAACTTCATTTATGACTCAACAGAAATAAAAGCCAGAGACATATTCAAGACAATAATTATGCTTGTGTGTTTAACCACAGGTCACGGTTCTTCAAATGTTGCATAGAGCTATCCACCGGATAAATCACTATCCAGCAGAAAAGTATTATGGAAACCAATTGCTTTATTCATTGGATAGATTTTTATCTGGTGGATAGTGCTTTCCAACGTTTGAACAACTGAGGCCAGGTGATTATTTTATTCTTCTGTGCTGTTTGCTTTCAGGAAAGGTTTTCTCAAAGCTTAGCTATACTGTGCCAAAGTCAACTGTTAAGGATGTTGCTGAATGTAAACCTGGGGTGATTGAAATTGTGTTAGCCAATCTTAGAATGAAAGTGAGTTATTTTCGTCTTTTCTCTTTTGGCATCATCAGACAATGTATATCCCCACTCCCTAATTATAGACTGTACTAAGCCATTTTCTTGTCTGCTGCAAAAAAGCTACATAGCAGCAAGCAAATTACCCACCTTTATATTGCAATTTTAATGTGTAAAAACTTAGCCTAGGTAGCAGGTGCTTGGAAGTAATGGGCGCAGGAAAGAACAGGGTGCGTGAGAGACTTTAAAGAGGTTTTCTCTTTAGAGCATTGGTATTATCTAAAAGGTTAACATGAGGTTTCATGCTGGTGAAGTTGTTTGGCAAGTCACCCCTTGCAATTCCCAATTTCCATGGTAGAGGGGGACAAGCAAAGACATTTGCACAGAAATATTGCCCTGGAGGTGGGAACATTTACTCACTTTCTCTAGCTTATTTTTCAAAGTTCCTGCTTATGCGTGGGTAGAGGGGTTGGGGGGGATTACATTGACTGGTACATTACTGTTTGTCATTTGCTTTTCCTTTTTTGCCGTTATCAGATTGAAAAGTTTATGGCGAAGAAGAAGGCTGATAGTCTACGAAAGCAACAACAAGTTTATGATGAGTTTTCTCCCAATGGGCCAATCAATGATCATGAACCTTATATGTATGATGACGGACAGCCTTATCTTGGTAATCAAGATTAATTTTGTATTCAGTCGCAGTGTTCTCCTAATCAGACAGTAATGGGAAAAGTTTACTTCTTAATATTATAAAGCAACACTTCTTAGTGCCTGCAAACATTTGAAGGTTTACTGAAATTAAATAACTTATTTTAAAAAAATGGCAAGTTGTGATCCATTCCTATTCTCCGTTCTTCATGTAGGTCACTCAAAGTTTTTAACCTCTGGGCCCAGTGATTAACTGTGGTTTATCTGAACCCGGCTTTGAACAATCCGGCCCTGATCTGAACGCCAATAGCTTAATTACATTGGCTGATTTGCCTAAAATAGGTCACAAAATGAGGGAGTGACATTTCAGAGAACTTAGCCTCTACAAGTAAAACTTTTACTGGGAAGGTGGGGCCTTGACCCTCGCCATGCCATGCCTTGACCTTTGCCCAATGGGTAAAGGTCTCGGCAAGTCATCCTCAAACAAAATCATATGTAAAAAAAGGCAAGGAGTCAGTGGCCAAAATGTGAGAGCTGCTTGCCTTAAGGACAAGCTAGAATTCAAGTTCTTTTCAAGCCTTGTAAATAATTAACACCTGCTATTTTGGTATCTGAAATTTTTACTGATCACGACATTGACTGTGTATACTCTAACTCATATAAGAGATGGTGTTTGCTTTTTTTTCAGGGCCAGAGAACAACTATGGTTATGCATTTAATACTGGTTATGGGCAGCAACCAATTGCAACAAATGATGTAAGTACAGTCAATCCAAAATTTTAAAAGTTTTAAACATTTTGTTACTTGTGGTGTTATAAAACACTCCAATGTGAGAGGTACACTGTACATTAAAAACTCAAAGAGGAGAAGAGCCTGCCAAGAACTGCATGAATAATTGAAGGTTAGGTGCAATGAAAAATTGCCAGAGTTGTTTAGAGTTCTAATAGAGGTCTAATTAACAATTATTTTTTACGTTCATTTTGGGACTTTGAGTACTGGTTGCTTTCGCCTGATGCTTTTTCTGGTAAAAGTAAGTTGCAGTTGCTTTCAAAGATGTCCACAGACCGTCTATTTCCTCCTTTCCCCACCCCCACTTCCTTGCGCTTGCGGTCAATAAATCCCCCGCGGTTTTTGTTTCTATAAACGCACGCGAAAATCTGTAAAGAGAAACAAGAGGGTCTTTGAACAGGCTATGACTGCTTACTCGCAGCCGTTCTTGTCTTGTCTCGCAACGCTCCTCCCCAACAAATGGTTGCTCACATTCGAACCGCATTCCTTTCCCGATTTGAGCCAATCACAGCTATAGCTCCTTCTTTTGGAACTGTTTCGCGCCCAACTATCCTATGACACGCCCTCCGATTATAGCCTGCATTCTATCGCATCATCTGTGGTGTCAAGTCGTCTCCTAGAAAACCGTTAATTTTTCTCGTCACGTGCATAACTTTTTGTTTTTAATAAAACAGACTTGAAATTGCTACGATTCGACTACCTGTACAGGGTCAGAATTGAATTTGGCGTCAACTTAAAGCGGTGTTTGTGTTTTCATACATATGTACCTGCAATTCCAATGGTTTGTTTTTTAGAAGCACGTATGCTTTAACACGCTGTTCTTTCAGCAGGTGATGGGTCCACATGGAGCAGTGCCGTACCAGGCACGTCCACCAGACAAGCAAGGTGGCGACAGTCCCCGAGGTGGGGCTAATGCTCGGTTTAAGAACAGAGATGGAAGGGCTGCAGCCATTCCTGGACCCCTGGGTGAAAAAACAAAACTTGCTCCCGTTAATCAAGGAAAAGGGTGAGTTTGCTGCACAGCAGAGGAAAACAGGGAAACAAGGGGAACAAGAGAACAGGGGAACGGGGGAACGGGTGAACCGGGGAACAAGGAAAACAGGGAAACAAAGGGCGGCGAAATTGCGATTTCGTTTATAAACTCCTATTGCAAAATTTTTTCAACGGAGGAAATTTATCACCTTTCGAATACATGTAGGGAACATGTCATTTGACGTTTGGCGTAAAGGTCACGTTGACGCGCATGCTCCATGAGAAAGCAAACGGACGCTCGCAGTGGTTTGTCTCCCCCTCGTAGCGTAGCGTCAAACTTGGAGAAACAACTGCTCGCAGGGTAGTATTCATGTTGATTGTTTTGTCTGCAGGAAAGTGCTACGCTCCCAGTCATACCAAGACGTTAACGGTACAACTGGAGATTCTCAAAATACAAGATTGCTATTGGAAGAAAAGGAACAAGCCTTGCTTGCCTCCCAAGAAACTGTTCAGGTACGCTAAAATGCCCAAAATGCCGTTCATAGGTCGAGCACTTCGCGATTTTCCGTTCCAGATGCAAATTATAAGCTTCGGAAGTTTGCGCATACGTAGAAAGAAAAATTTCCAAGGGTTTTGAGTTTAAAAGTGACACAGCCGTCTCGACTTTTACTTTTCGCTTTCTCTTCTCCCTTCCTCGTGAAATTTTTCATGAAATTTTCGGGCAAATTTACCATTTTTTTTGCCTTTTTATCCGGCTTCCTTGACCAAATCGTGGTCATTCTGGAATAGTCTGAAAGATCTCTTCACCCTTCACAAGTTAGGTAACAAAGTTGTCCTTACCCCTTGAACTGGCATGGACGGTTACGGGCGGTGGAGGGGTGAATGCGTTTAAAAACAGTAACGAGTAATTTAGTTACTAGCATTTTAAGATTTTGATAAAAATCAATAATAATTGTATCAATTCTTATCAGTATATAATGTCAATTAATAATAATCATTGTCGTAATTTCTTTCTAGATTTTAAATGTTAAAATTCGAAGACTAGAGCACTTGCTTCACCTAAAGGATTTAAGAATAGATGACCTAACAAAAAGACTCCAACAAGCGACGCAGCCCCTGCCTCGACAGCTACCACCCCAACCACACCCACCTCAGCCACCGGCTGTGGATCCATCATTACCAGCTATGCATATGCATCATCAACAACCGCTTCCACCGGTTCATCATACGTCTTACAGTGCGCAACAGTTACAAGAGCACTAGTAGGGTATAGACCTTTTTTTCATAAATGGTGATCGGTTATACTATGGATTTCATAGAAACGACCAGGTGTAAATAGTGTAGGGAATCTGACATGTCACAAAAAGTTATCTATTTTAGGCGCGATGCGCCTTTTCAACAAAATTAGACCTATTGACGCCAATTGTGAGTGTGTTTACTACTTAGACCGAGCGATCACGTGAGGATGTTCCTTAACCACAGTGTCCCAAAAGTTAGGGAGAACATATCTTACTCTGTTGTCATGTTAAAGTTAATTAAGCAAAAATCCTATCGTTTAGGGCTTTTGTTCACACATGATAACAGTGGTTTTGGTCGGCGCTCTTTCTAAAATGGAGCGAAGCATCACCGTGTCGATCTTAAAAGTTGATCATCACATATCGGATAGTAGTAACTCCATAGTTAGTATAGTGGCACACGTAAACTTTCGAAGCGAGGATCGTGTCTCATTCCTCTCGTCGCACGCGTGGCCTTTTTTCTTGCGCGTGTTTCGTTTGACGGGCTGAGAAAAAATTGGAGGCTGTTCGTAATCCGGGACAAGGAAGATGACGATACATTCCGGCCAAATTAAAAAAGAATTCTTCTACAGTCAGGTACAAAATATTAATTTCGCCTGGGAAGAAATGACGGGCAATAGTGTGGAAAATATTTATCAGTAGCTTTTCTTAAACGATATAAGCTACAAAACTCACTATAGTAATATGTTTAAACGCTGAGAGCCTTCTTATGTACAGACTATTAAATGAAAATGTCATAGGGCGCAACACACTTTAATTTTACGTGCATTTGGATTTCGTGAAGCCCCGTGCAAACGGACGCAACATGGTTGCATGTTACACGTTGCGTTCTTTTCCCCTCCCTGTTGCATGTTGTTGCGTGTTGTTGGAGGTTGTTGTACAAAGTTTGAAACCGGTCAAACTTTTCGCTACGTGCAAACGGACGCAACAACTCCCAACAATGTTGCTGCGAATTGTTGCCAACAATGTTGTGTCCGTTTACACGAGGCTTGAGACCATACATTCGACGCTATAATGTACCGACAGTACATGTAATTTGAGCTTGAAGTGCAGCTTAAAAGCTTTCATATTGAAGTAAATGTTTCATTGGCATGCTCATAGATAGAAGTTTTGATTCTTACCTTGAAGTAGCGTACGTATGAAACATGCAGCGGAGCTTGAGCAACCATGCTTTAGCGACGGCAACAACGAGGTGAAAAAAGCAATGGCTTAATTATTATGCGAAACAACAGCTCTTCACGTGCAGCACACTTTTGTACATTTCTTTCCCGTGTTTGCACGACTAGCACGTGAAACTCAACGTGACGTTTACGAAAAACGTAAACAAACAGCAACGAGCTTTTCCTTCTGCTTCTGAACTAATGACAGTGGGATATAAAATTCTCGGGAACCACTTTTTTCCTACATACATACATACGTTTTAGTGAGTCTCCCTTTACAGGGCTTTTCGGGCACAATTTCCTGATATGTGCACGCGATTGAGCGAGTTTGTTGCTCACAGACTTCCTTTACCAAAAAGAAACGTCAAAACTCATGTTTTCAGATTTCCTCACCAGCGAATCATTACTGGATGTAAGGAAGGTATATAGGTGGGATTTCCGTACCGTACGGTGTAGGTTACTGGTAAAAATCTGATAATTTCATGGCCTTGTTTAAGGCTGGAGTGTATACGTTGTATAGTTCAGAAGGAAAGTAGCGCTGGCTAGTGGATAAATCTCTCGCCTCATTTCTCAACGACGGAATCCGGATTCACGAATCCAGGAAATTTTTGCTTGTAGAATCTGGAATACAGCTCAAGGAATATCATTTAAAATGTGAATGTCACATAATGCAAATACTATACACAAAGAATCTTAGCCACGGGAGATTTGAATTGTGCACAGCTTTGAGTTAGCCGAATAGGTCTATTGGATACGATTTATCCGATAGATAGCGCTAAAATCCAACTTTTGAACAACTGGGTAAAATACTATACACAAAGAATCTTAGCCACGGGAGATTTGAATTGTGCACAGCTTTGAGTTAGCCGAATAGGTCTATTGGATACGATTTATCCGATAGATAGCGCTAAAATCCAACTTTTGAACAACTGGGTAAATGACAATCATCATTTAAAAAGCTTAGCAGTTATGATTTAGAAGCAGTGTAAGTATATTATACACATTGTCTGTTGTACAGTTCTCATTGGTGTAATTTTTAACAAGTACAAATAATATATAAGCAATGGTAATTTTCTCGACTGAGCGTATATGTACAGTAATCCTTAACAGATCTTTTGAAGATTTTCATCTCAAAAGGTTCCAATAAAAAAATAATTATGGTATGGTGGTGATAGTGCAGATATGCAAGCTAATGCCCATCCAGGAGTAACCCCCTTGGAATTGTGACTAACAATCGGTCATTCGGAGTTGTTTCAAGCCTCTGTTTCAAAGCGAGACTAAGCGTGAAGCCAACTGATATAAAGATGATTTTTTAGTCTCACTCATTTCTACCACAAAAGTTTAGCACTTGGCCTCGTTTTGAAAGTGAGAGGTTTGTAACTGGGAAATGGCCTATTACCCAAGGGGTATATGTTTATGGAAAATGAATCCGTGGAATCTGTGACGACATTCAAAATGGCCGGCCACACTGCCTTCACAGCATTTTCAAAGCGCCTCTAAATAAGGAGAGAGCAACCCAATTTCAACTTCAGGCTTGGATGAGTTCTGCCGCCAAAGTTTCGAGCAGAAACTATTAAGCGATCGCCGTTTCGACTGATATGATCAGTGAGTGGCACTGTAGAAAGTTCTATGTTGCTACATTAATTTAATAACCTGCGATCAGACGCTCCCTAGTCTCTTCTCTGGTGGACCGCCGACTTTCGGGCTCCCCCAAGAAATAGAGCACCTGATCGCAGGTTATTCCAAAGGGGAGGAAAATGTTTCCTGGTACCGAGCCAAGACAATCCCGTGGGGGGTACTGCAATAAAGTTTTATTCGGGGAGACTCTGCCCCGAGGTCCTACCCCTTACCCTTTTATACACTATTTTTGACAGAAAAGTATCTTTCGTATACCTTCTATTGACAAATGTTCTCTTTCACATACCTTGTTTAAAACTTTGCATCCCTTTTAAGACCCCCTTTTAACTGCTGTAAATGCACTGTCCTTAAAACATGAATATACCACACCAGAACGTTTTCTCGACTTTTTCGCATCCGAAAAATGCATCTGGTAGCTCTTTTGGGCCTTTTTACAGACCGAAATCACATATTTCCCTTCATATATATCTTAAATAGTGAAATCCCTTCCCTTTCATATACCTGAGGCCTGAAAAAAAAGTCATGTACCCCTTTCGGTTGGAGCCTCCCCGCCATAGAACAATATAGGGAATACACCCCCCCCCCACCCCCCTCCCCGGGGAGATTTTATAGTAACCGCGTACTTTCTTTAGCTAGTGAAATTGTTTCTCCGATGTATAAAGAGAAACTTTATGGGTAGGAACATTACTACCGGTTACCCGTTAGTGATCATAACAGCCCGAATGAGACCATGAAAGGCTATCTTTTTCACCAATGTACCAAGCGCGTCACGCAATGCAACCATACCGTCTTTGAAGCACCTGTGTCGACTCGTCATTTTAATTAAGCGTTTTATATTGCTTTGGTACCCTAGATTTGCTCTAATTTTTGCTTAAGGTTAATAGTTAATGCTGCGTTACATGGCACGGTTCAGTGAAAGTTGACCGCAGACGGCATTATATTTTTTACATATGTTTGAATATATTAACAACTGATTAAACACCGAGAACTGCTTAGTCACGATTTCTTTAAGACCTTTAGTGGGCAAGTGTGTTTTGGCCGTGCAGTGAAGAATCTTCTGAAACGTCGGCAGAAATGTCAGGCTACAAGCTTGTTTACTTTCCAATCCGCGGTCGAGGAGAAAGAACTCGATTGGCTTTCGCAGCGGCTAAAATTGATTTCGAGGACACCAGGCTGCCTTTTGAGGAATGGGCAAAGGAGAAAGCATGTAAGTGGATTTCCACAATAATCACGCCCTTTTTTCTAATCACTTAAGCTATTATAGTTTTCTAAGCACTTAAATAGCCTTTTAAAACAGTATGCTCGATTGAACATGGCTTACGCGCGAGGTAAGCTTTACTCGTGTTTGCTGAGTATATAAATAAAATTATGTAGTACAGTTTAATCCTCAAATCAGTAAATCTTGTTACTGAGTCGCATTGGCGACTAGACGGTCAACCAATGCAGCGAAACCACTCCTATCTTGCGTACACCTCCTTGCTTGTTTCAATAATTTAGCGATATTTATCCAAGGGTGCCGTTGATATGGACGCTTGGACTTCGCAATCGACTTTATTCACATCACAACATAGTGTTTACAACGGCAAACATGACCAATATATTTTCAATCACATTTCTGAGACTGTTTTTTTTTTGTTATGTGTAGTGCAGGTGTCACGGTGGGCATGCGCAACCGAAAACGAAACGAGCGAAACGGACGTAACGAACCAAACGAAGTACCTAAACTTAACGTGTGTTCGAGGGAAACGGCCGGAACGACCAAAACGAGTCCAACAAAACAAGTAATACGACTTACCATACGTTTACCATAATGGTTGAAACAAGCAAAAGGTGGAAAGTTGAGGAAATATCATCGATGTCTGTTCGACTATTATCTCGTATTTACGTCCGGAACTTCTAAAAAAGACATTTTTGACAACTTAGTTTTTGCAGGCGGGGGCTGGCATCTCCGTTTTGCGAACGACAGTGGCGGCCCTGGAGTATTCACGGCCATCAACGACGGGACTGATTGAAACTAAACCGCCTTATTTCGCAATTCTCACGAGTCAATGTAGTGTTTGTAAAGAAATGTTCATCTCTTTTTATCCGTTTTCTTTTTTTTGTTTCAGCTGGCAGACCGCCTTTTGGTCATTTGCCTTACATTGTGACTCCGGAAGGAAAAATCTTGGGACAGTCTAGTTCAATTACTAAATATATCTGCAAGAAAGGAGGTGATTTATCAACAAGGGTTATTCGTTGGCATGCTAACTAAATTCAATCTCAAAAATTTCCGGGGGCCAGTTTAAAGGCACGAGGTGTAGCTAGGCGTACAGTTGATGTCCTGCTATTCTTAAGAGATCGTTTTAAAAATGAATGGCTTTGTAAGCGAGCTAGACGAAGGGAATTCTTTACTCTGATTGGACGCCCGAGAGAGTGAAATAATATAGTACCGTGTTGACCAAGCGTGAAGTCAAGATGGCTGGAAATAGACCTTTGTCACGCGGTGGCGATTTTGTCTCAGAAGCCTTGTTTATGCATGGCTAGCCTCGAAGAGAGAACAAGGCTAGCCGTGCATAAACAAAGCTTTCTAAACTCTGAGACAAAATGGCCGCCGCGTGAAGGTCTATTGGCCACGTTTTTTTTTTTTGCGTTTTTATGGACCTCGACTCGGTCTCGGTCAGTTAAAAAGCAAAAAAGAACTAAACAAGGCCATTAGGCCAACATTCCTGCTACCTTGGCTGAAAAATAGCAAGCTCGGTCAATAAATGATTTATTACATGGCCGTCATAAAGATAACTTTTTCTTGCTGGACCAACGTGGGAAATCCCCAACGGGCAAGATGGTCCAGCAACTTGACCGATTTCCGTAAAATATGGTGGCAACCGGTGTGAATCCGCACCTGCTTCACAATCATTAGCCACAGAATCTATGAAAAATAGCTTTCCCAACGTATTAATGACGAACTTAAAATGCATCATCAGCATTGCATTTTTTACCCTGCGAGCAGAGTCTCCTTCGATCTTCCAAGACTACTCTGCTCGCAGGGTATGCATTTTTAGCAAATCCGCTTTCTTTTTCTGCATTTCATTTTTACTTTATGGTTCACAGGACTGTGCCCAGCTGACAGTTTCGATGAAGCGACAGCGGATTCGATAGGTGATGAAGCTATGGATTTGGTTGAGGCTGTGATCAAGCTACACTTTGAGAAAGACGAAAAGAAGAAGGTAATGGCTTGGCCGAAATGGTAATGGACCAATTTCAGTATATTAAAATTCCGACCTTGCAACAAGGCTTGGGTACCCTGGATGCCAGCGGCTTTTTGTGCGCGGTTTCCGGTCTTGGTTAAGTCTAAAAAAGTGACCAGAAGACGTGTCGGCCTGCGATCAACGAAGCTCCTCGTCGCACGCGAGAAAAAACTTGTGGTACCCAGGGTAATTCTTCAGGGAATAAAACAAAAGAAATGTATTATTCATTGCTGAGCCTCAAGATGATTTCTTTTGATTTATTCTTTTGAGCCTCGGNTGCCCAGCTGACAGTTTCGATGAAGCGACAGCGGATTCGATAGGTGATGAAGCTATGGATTTGGTTGAGGCTGTGATCAAGCTACACTTTGAGAAAGACGAAAAGAAGAAGGTAATGGCTTGGCCGAAATGGTAATGGACCAATTTCAGTATATTAAAATTCCGACCTTGCAACAAGGCTTGGGTACCCTGGATGCCAGCGGCTTTTTGTGCGCGGTTTCCGGTCTTGGTTAAGTCTAAAAAAGTGACCAGAAGACGTGTCGGCCTGCGATCAACGAAGCTCCTCGTCGCACGCGAGAAAAAACTTGTGGTACCCAGGGTAATTCTTCAGGGAATAAAACAAAAGAAATGTATTATTCATTGCTGAGCCTCAAGATGATTTCTTTTGATTTATTCTTTTGAGCCTCGGTGCTAAGTCTGAATGTTGATTGGTCTAACCAACCTTGTTCCCAGAGTCCTCTCCTGCTCATCGCCCCCCAGGAAGAACGAGAGAGAGGAACCTGGGAACGAGGTTTGTAACTTGAGAAATTACTTGAGTATGACAAATCAAACAAGATATGTCTTTGAAGCATTACATCAAATAACAAAAATGACCTTTGAAAAATTGTTAGGATAACAAGTTTCCAATACCACAATTGCAATCCCTTTCAGTGTTCTTCAAGTTTGTCTATCCGTGCTTCGATCCTTTAGACTGCAGTACAGTCCGTAATCTTTGGACATCCAAGTACGCGCGACAAAGGTCTGGAGCGAGGCTGAAAACAGAGAGTGAGACTGGGGAGAGACTGGGAGTGACGATAAAAATACGAATTGACCGTTTTGCATATAGTATTAGCCTGCGAGCAAGCTCTTCATTTGCTATTATTTTGGAGCAATCAGTGAGGAAGAGTTTTTGTGTTGGAGCCTCACACGCCCGTAGGCTCTTTGATTGATTTCGCGAGAGAATATCGCGTGTTATTGTCTACACTTGGCTTCGAATCTTGTGGTAAACGCTGCATCCAGTAATTCCGAAACAGACTTGAGCGTTGTTTCCTTGTGCAATGTAGTGTTTTCTGGAAGACCAAAAATAAGTGGAGGTGGCAGCAAACTGACAAAGCCTGTGCCTGAAGCGGTGTGGGACACTTCTGCCTTAGCAACATTGTAATGAAAAAAGGGCTTCGAAAAGCTCTTCAATTATTAACTAGTAGTTCAAAGCCTGGATCAAGAAACGCTTTACCCATGACAATGTCTCAGTCCACATGTGATACTTAAGAAAGAAGAAAGAGACTTACAGATATAGATTAAAACACTCTCAGCGGTCACCGACCCATCCTAACGTAGCTCACCCTTGCCGCGATTTAAATTGCAGCACGCTAGCGCGCCCAACGTATAACTGCCGTGGTTCTTTTTCCTATATTTTAGGATTCAGTCCCGTGAGGAAATGATCTCTAACTTTTGTTTTGTTTTTTAGGAAGAGTCAACGAAGAAATTTTTCGAAACTACACTTCCTGACGAACTTAAACATTTTGAAGCTATTCTTAAAAGCAGGGATGGGGGCAACGCCTTCTTTTTAGGCGAAAAGGTAAGATTAGAAGAATAACAAGGCGTTGCGCGGGGTGATTTCGGAATGAGGTGATCAAGCACAGTCTAACCGCGTTAACCCTTTAAAAGCCCCTACAGTGATAAAACATCAAAATTCTCTTTGTAATTATCAATGCTTTGTCAAACAGAGTGGTCATGAGAATTACGGACATGATCACACAAGATGAATAATGTTATCAACTTCTCCCCACTACTTCTGTAGGAAATGAATAGGAGCAACAAATGAGATTTCAAATTTTGATCTTAGGGTTTAAAGGGTCAATACAGACACTGAGGATGCCATAGAAAATGTCCGTGTCTGTCATGACTAAAGGGGGAGGGGGGTTGGTTACCAGTGGTGGCTCGGACCGTTAAGAACTTGGCAAAGACCGTTTACGAAAGAGAAATAAACCATGCCTGCAAAGCATAACAATATTTTTTTTGTTTCTTTTCTGCAGCTGACCTCTGCCGACATCCTGTTCTTTGACTTTTGCAACAGCTTTCTTTCAAAGGGTGAACCAACTGTTCCTGAACCGCTCAAGAAGTTTCCGCTGTTGGAGAAACACTACAATCGTGTGTTAAACGTGCCGGAATTAAATGCCTGGATCACGAAACGCCCGAAAAGCGAACTATAAGGAAGTGATGTACTTAACTAAAATTACGTTTGAGGTGCACAAGAATAAATATAAAAGAAGCTGCTGGGTTTTAGTACTCCATGCATAGCTGCAAGTAAGCCCCGGGGAGTAAGCACTCTCATTTCGCGCGCGTACCCGTTCGCGCGTGACTTCTCGCCATATCCTAGGTGAGCCGCTGAGAGCTTAAACCCTTTCCTGTCCTGTTTAGGACAAACAAATCCATACCCTGTTTAGGGCAAACTGACAAAATGCTTCTGTAATTATAGAGAGACTGCAAACCTCTAAAACCGATTAAATGGCCATAAATCGACTCGGAAACCACACAGGAGAGAAGAAACAAACATCTTAAGAGGGGCGAGCTGATTTTTAGTTAAATCGTTTCACATTCGTAGGCTACGTAGGAAACAATTATTTTTTTCTTCCATACAAATCCTCATATTTTGAACATCACGCATCAGTGCTGATGGGAGACCCGTGGGCGAACGGGTGTGAGTATTATGAGAGCGTTTTGAACAAATGACGACTTGTCAACGACTTGTCAGTGACGGAAATTTTAATTAATGCCGTTGTCAACGCAAATTAACATCTGTTGGTTAATGATCAATCAGAAGCCTGCGTTGCTGGAACAACGCCCACTTTGATGGTGAGTAGCAGTGATGTTAAAAGGACAGTTTCTTTTTTCTCGCCTCCCTCGCCTGCCGCTACAAACCCCAACGCGCGCCCCCACGGTGCACATGAAACCAAAGGTCGCCTGACCCGTATTAAAGGGCTCGATCCTGATAAATCTACGAAAAAATATTGGGCTGTAAACAGTCTACATACTGTCAATAAATCGTATTTTATATGTAAAGTTGATCGCGCTGAGAATGCAAGGAGGCGTGTCAGACTGCCGGTCAAATAAATCCGCGCTCGTTGATTGGCTAACTTACAAAAAGTTTGTTCTGGGGCCATTTACACCACGATAAGGCGCGTCGCCGCTGCAAAATAGCTTAGTCACGCTCAGTTTAGTTGGCGATTGTGTCTTTGGGCGTTCACAAGAATCTTCTGAAACCTCCACAGAAATGTCAGGCTACAAGCACGTTTACTTTCCAATCCGCGGTCGGGGAGAAAGAACTCGACTGGCATTCGTAGCGACGAAAGTTGAATTCGAGGACGTTAGAGTGCCCTTTGAAGACTGGCAAAAAGAGAAAGATTGTAAGTAGATTTGACTTGCACAATAATCACAGACTTTCCGATTCTTCTAGTTATACACTTTAAAATAAATTCTGTGAAACGGTCGACGGAAAATGGTGTGTCTCGGAAAATATCAGCGTGAGTCTCGAAATCTCGGCATTTAAACCGGGTTTGAAATCAGGGTCACGCTTAATTTTATCCTTGGTAAATTTCAATCGAGAACGAACCTCTGGAGTCTGGAGGCCCCGTCTCGAAGTCACGAATTTTAATAACTTGAATCTCGGTAAAATTGCACCCTATATCAAACTTCCTATCAAGCCAAGGTAAGTTCAACAAGCAAGAAAAAAAAAGTTGCCGAGTTTTTGCCTAAGCAGCGGTAAAATGAGAACAAATTATTCCAAGCAAATTATTCCAATCCACTTACTAAATGACTCAGTAGCTGACTAATAGCTCGAACCTTTTTCCAGGGTACACAGGCTATAGCTACATGTGGTTTCATTGTTTCGCTGTGTAACGCATTTTTCCGGAATTTTTACTACTTTGGACTATTGCAACACGCGTATGCCACGAAAAACGAATGTTTGCACAAGTGAAAGTTTCGTGTGTGCATATAATTTGTCACCGCTCGTTGTTTTCAGCGTGAATTGCAATATTTAATCCCACGGATTACTACTAATGCAACTCAAACAACACACAAAACAAGTATGAACTGATGAAGGATAGCAGACACAAAATCTAGCCAGAGCAATTCGAGAAATGTAATAAATCGCGTGAACAAGTCCTAAGTAAAAACATCATGTCACGAATGCAAATTAAACCTTATGTTCACTCTGCTGAATCTAATGACAATCTCCCCAAACACACGATGTTTATAAGAATGCTTTAACCTAAAATTGAAAATTTCCTTTGACTAGAGACTAATAAATTATAAATATAAAGACAAGCAACGACTAGAGGTTTCTCTTTTCTCCCTGTCCAAAGAAAATTTCATTGACGCAACAAACTGTCATGTTTATTTCTCGGACGCCACAGGGGACAGGTCACGCTACAATTTGTTACGTAATCAAATGATTTCGAGCACAATTTGGACTAACCAAGTTTGCAGTTTTGTTAAAATTTCCGAGGGCTGATTTATCTCAAATAACACAAGAAAAATCGTGTGGTTTAATACTTGCTAATAATATACATGCAAAAATGTGTGTCGCTTTTTCTCTTTTACGTGTCACCGTATATCACTGTTCCCTGTTCCTGCCTACAAATGACAACCTCGACCAAGAATGGTCAAAATTTTGACAGGTGAATGGTGGAATGTTTGTAAAGAAAATTTTAATCCCTCTTTTTTTGTTTTTTTGTTGTTTCAGCTGGCAGACCGCCTTTTGATGAATTACCCTACATTGTGACTCCCGAAGGAAAAATCCTGGGACAATCTGGTGCAATTTGCAAGTATATCTGCAAGAAAGGAGGTGATGTATCAACGAGGGTTGTTCATCAGTACGCTAACTAGATTCAATCCAAAAAAAGTTCCTCGGGTGAATTAAGGAATGGGTCTCGGAAAATTTATAGGGGGTGGTCTGGTTCAAAGAGGATTTTACACTTTTTATCTTAAAACTTTGTAGGCTTGACCCTTTTTTGCGAAAGGATATCAGTTTCATTTTTAATGATGGATTTTGTAAGTCACATGACTTATCACGCCCATTTTTTACCATGTATTTTGATTCAATTTTACACCACTTTTTAAAGAATTAAAATAATTTAATTTGTTTTTTGACAATAATTACAAGGTTTTTAGAACTGATTGGGGTTTTTGGAAATTAACTGTTTTCAGGAGACTAGCTCCTGCAGTTTTCTGTAAACTGTAATGTTTTCATTTTACAGAGGAGCTAAGGAACTAAGTAACTAAGTAAGAAAAATATATTTTAAAATTTCCCGATTAAGTTGACATGTTTATCATTCAAAAAGTGCAATGTCAATACCAGAAATGGCTCCTTTCATCCGGGCACAGTCATGATAATTGTAACTAATTATATTATTATTAAACTGATAAAAGGAGTGGGAAACTGAATAAATAGGAGGCCAAAAGAGAAAGAGAGAAAACTAGGAGGCCAAAAGCGAGATGTATGTGAGGAGCCACTTCGTAATTCAGACTAGTCTGGGAGGATGAACAGTAAAAAAGCCCAAGGGTAGTTGACATCCTCCTTAAAAGATGGAATTTTGTATGAGTGGTTTTGCAAGCAGGCAACAGAAAGAGAATCCTAATGTTCTGATTGGAAACCCGAGCGGGTACCGAGGGCAGACTGATTGCCTGCTTTTCTTTTTCCCTCACCCCCCTCATTTGAATGCCAGTGGCCAATGAAAAGCTAAAAATAAGAGAAAAAATGAATTTGTACTGTTGGTCATTAGGTTTGTGCCCAAGTGACCCTTTAGACGAAGCATTAGCCGATTCGTTGAGCGATGGCGCTCTTGATTTACGCGAGCGTCTGATCAGGATATACTATGAGGAAGACGCGGCAAGAAAGGTAATGCGTGCGTCAACTAATTATTAATTTCCAAGGAATGTGCATACCGTTTGTCAAGCATTTCTCAAGTTGTAAGCTCCCTTGACGAGGGGCATTTCTTAGTGACAATCTTATTCTCAGGGCCCTCTTCTTGTATTTTGCAAGCACATCGATAGGATTCTTTTTTTTTTTTAACGAAGGAAGTTTGTATCAAAACAAGGTCAACTGCAACCTCAGATCATATTCACTCAAAGGCATGACTCGTCCCAAGAGAGAATAATTACTTCACGTTCTGCGAAGAACGTGAACTCAAGACAACAACTTTCGTTTTCTTTTACTGAAGTTGACCGAACTTCGACACAGTTTTTTCAGAATTCAACTCCAGAGAAAAGTACGAACATTTGACGAATTGAACGAGATGGAATAAGCGAGATAAAGTTTGAAGCAGCGCGAATTCACTTTTTTCGTGAAGCTTTCGTAGCCGTCAGAGCCGTCACTGTCGTTGTTGCTTACAAGCTCCCTGGAATGTGTGTCCACATGTGATACTAAGAAAGAAAAAAAACAACTTACAGTTATACAAGTAGATTAGAACACTCGTAGAGGAGTTAGTCTGGCCTTCTGAAGAAGAAAATCGCTTCTGCTGCTGTATGAAATCCTTCAATAACAAACAACTTGAAAAAAGCAAGCAAGCACGTGCAGCACACTCTTTGGTACATTTCGCTGCCGTCTGTAGTCAACGACCTGGCGGGGGCGGGGGGCAGGGTTTACTCCTGGGAATACTTGATGGGGGTGTACCGCCCGCTTCTCCAAATCCTGACCCTATTTCAGACCAAAAATTCTTCACACCCGTTTTCAGACCTGGCCTCTAAGAAATTGTGTCATCATTACTTGGGTTAGAACGCCAACAAAAAAGATTCGCTCTCTTTCTTATTCATTTGGAATTCATAGTGAAACGATAAATACGTTCATACACAGCTGTCCCATAGTTTTTCTCGAAAACCATGCCCTATTCCAGACCAAAATGGGCAAGGTATGACCGCATATACCCGTTTTCAGACTAAAACAGCGCAAAAACCATACCCTTTGGGGCGGCACATACCTATCATGGCTTCAGCATGAGGAAGCACCCCCGGGACGACGACAACTTGAAATGGCCTAAATTCTTTTATCAAGAACATAACCGACAAAGGACGGCGAATTTCCCTTTCTCTTTTAGAACTTGGGTATTTTTCGTACGGCCGATTTAACTCCAGGAGAGTTCGCCTATATTTGACAAAGTGAGCAAGTTAGGATAGTAATCGCCCTGAAGCAGAACGCGAAGTTACGTGTTTTAAGTGACGTTTTGACTACCGTCGCCGTGGTGGCAACTTAAACTTGTTCCGATTTATTAATTGCAGCACGTTTGTCCTATTCACCATTCACGATGCCGTGGGTATATCCTTTCCTCCCCAAATATTTCAGGATTCTGTTACGTGAATGATT